GATAGAGAGGACTCTGCCATTTCACAGATAACACTCTAGTAAGTGATGATTTTGTTCATATTGTGATGCTATCCTAGACAGCCACAAGGGAGAATCATTACATTTTCATCATGGGTATTTCCAGGCTAGTGCAATTTAATAAATCATGAGACTTGAAAGATGGACTAGTTAATATGGTAGTGAACATTTGTTTGGAAAGCTTTTAAAGAATATTCTTCAGGAATAAAAGTGGAAAGAAATCAAAAAGTTAGATCAAGAGGTCTGAAGTTGATTAATTTATCATTTACCATTTTGGGGTCAAATACCAGACGCTTAATGGCAGACATTATATATTAAACACTAGTGATGGAAGGGGTCTTGGAAACCATTTAGTCCGATTCTCCCATTTTATAGATGATGAAGCTGAGGCCCAGGGACTTCCTCAATGACTTTGATGAGTTGTGACAGATCTGAAATTAGATCCTAGAGCTCCTGTTTCTCAACCCAGAGCTCTTTCCACATGTTGGCTTTATTGTGAGACACATAGACAACTGTGCAAATACTGGTTTGTACTTTCACTTGAAGGGCCATCTTGGGTTGATTCATCTTAATGATGTTTGGGTGGATAAGCTATTGTAACGACCTCTTCCCTCTACACTCATGTTTTCCTCTGTGAAGGAATAGACTGCATTACTTATCTGCTCCTGTCTACATTCCCGTTTTCTTTTTATCTGTCTGCCAGCCGATTTTTGTTAGGGGCATTTAATTTTCAAGCCCTGTCTGTGATTGGATCTATATGTCCTTCCTTCCACTACCTTTCCTGTTTGTCTGCTCCTACATATTCTCTTTATCTTCATTGTCGTTAGATATTTCATTTGCTGGACTCTTTTCTCATTTATAATGTGTCACTTGATTTTATTACATACTTTCAGTCTCAGTCTCATTTTGAGTAACATGCTTTTCTCATCTTCTTTTTTTCCCAGGGAAATAAAGAGGAAATACAGGGCAGAGGGGGAAAACATCCTTTCTGTAAAGTGTGAAAAGCCAGTTCTCAGTTTACCTGGCACTGTGTGTTTTTCTTGACCGTCTTTATTTTTGTAAATCTCTTTAGGATAAATGAAGAGTAAGCTCCTGAATTCCAGATTATACCTGAATTCTTAGATGTTTCTCAATTACTAAAGGGTTCTTTAATACTTCGACTATCTACTTAAAAATATCACACAAGAACTAGTCAAAATAAATCAAAAACTAAAATTAAGAGAACCTGTACTAATTTACCATCTTTATTGCCAATAGCTCATTAAACATGTGACTATAATGTAAATCTAATTAAGTAACATGTTAATTGATATTCTAAATAGAGCTGTCTTTTAAAGAAATCTAATCAGGAGATTGGCTGATTGTCTTGATAATTTGTTGCTCAAGACATTGTGGAAGTAACTTTTGAATCACACAAGGAAAGCAGTTCCATTGTTTTATGATAGTGTCCCATTTTCTGACTCTCAGCCCCCATCATGATTTAAATGACCTTGACATAAGGATGGCCTCCAAATTACCTTGGAATATTTATAAAAATCAAATATGTATGCACAAAGGCAAATAGGTTTGCCATCATTGATGGTGTGTAATGAAATATGACTGTAGATAATTGTCTATAAGCTCTAAAGACACATATTAACCTGTGTACATGCCTTCACTGTGGCCGGCATTTGTGGGACTGTGTCTTCAGGGAGCAAACGCACGCAGTGCCCACCATCAACTCAAACGCACTTCAGGGAATGGCATAAAATACATGACAATCTTCACTTATACTTTATTCATCTTTTGGATGGGGTAAAGTCTTCTTGTTTATTTCTATCTCTAAAGTTGTTTTTGTAATGATTCACTGAGTTGCAAATAAATAGGATTTATTCAGAATTTTTGAGTTGCCTCTCCAAATATTACCACCTTATCTTCAAACTTAACATCAACATAAATCGGTGGTTTCTATCTCGTTATCCCCCCTCCATCTCCTTACCTCTCCATCCGTTCCTTCCGTATCCTGGACTGTCTAGGTGCTTCTGCATTAAGTCCATCTCTTAACACTACAGACATGCTATTCCAGATTCAGTTTACTCAATCCAGTTGCCAAACCACACAACTTAGTACAATCCTTGTATCCTTCTGTTTTCTCACATCCTGTATCCAATCCATCAGTAAATTCTGTGGGTTCTATCTTCAGGTTCCTCCACTGCAAACATATTGATACAAGCTGTCGTTATTTCTCACCTGGATTACTGCACTAGCATCTTAATTAGTTTCCCGACTTCTGCACTTACCCCCTATTATTAGCACAGAGGCCAGAGTGAATGTTCTGGGATGTAAGTCAGAACAAGCCATGGCTTTTCTTCACACTTGCTGGTGACCTCCCACATCACTCAAAGGCAAAGTGGTTGCCCCGGCTTGTGGGTCCCTATGTGATATGCCTCCCCACCATTTGTCTAATCTTATCTCCCACCATTCTTGCCCTTTCTGGATTCCCTGCTGTTTCTTGGACATGTCAAACTTGGTCCTGCCTTAGATCCTTTCCATGTGTTATTTTCTCTGCCTGAGATGATCTTTTTCCAAATGTCTACATGGCTGGAGGGAACATTTTCCTTAGGAGCTGCTCGATTGTCACCTTATCAATGAAGCCTCCACTGGGTGACCACCTCCTTAAAATAGTATCACCTGTCTGCTACATTCCCTGTTCATTGTCACTTTGCTTAATCTCCCCCCATAGAGTTTATTATCTGAATTTATCTGTTTATTCATTTAATGTCTGTCTCCTTCATGCCTCCTAGAATGTAAATTCCGTGAGAGTAAGGGTTTTTTTTTAGCACAGAGAGGGAGTTTAATAAATATATTTTAAAAGAATGCATACATGAAGAAAAGGAAAACATTAGTAAAGTGTTTAAAAACATAGTCCTTGATGTAAAACATATACAAGATCAAATAGCTGATCATGGGAAAAGCACTTCTTGCAAAAGGGTAGAAGGATACAGTTTTTATGTGCTGGTCATGTGAATTAAATGATTTACCGCATAAAGAGTTTATCAAAGTGCCTCTCAGCAGCAGATGCTCACACAGGGCTATGCTACTGCTGCTTCTCTCGCTGCCCTTTGAATTTGCATCTTTACTTCAAGAATAACAGAGCAAGCACCGGGCTCTCCTCTCAGGGGAAGATAAGCGCACTGCCACTGACCCTCCTTTGCCTCTCCCAGGATACCTTAATGGGCTAACTACCTGCCTATCTGGGCCCATATTTTGTTATCACAGGCTGTTGTCAGATACTTTACATCTGTGATGCACATCTCATTTTACTAAGCCATTGATTAAAATCAAACATGATGCAGCCTCTGACCTTGTTGGCTTTTCACTGTTGAAGTAAAATCAGGGAATCAATAAAACACAAAAAAGCGTAAATCTTTAAGATCCTTTTGAAGTTGACATCTTCAAGGAGAAACTTTCTAGAATGAGGATGTTTACTGTCATTGCCAGATGAGTAACTGCTTCTTCTATTTCGCGTTTTTCTTTCCAAAGGAAACACACATGCACAATCTTCAGTTCATATATCTCCACAGTTGAAGTTCTGTTGGCTGAAATGAAAAACCTTCATCTCGTCTTAACCCTTGTGACCATGTTATGTTTGTGGAGATCAATTGGAATGGGGCTTGGTAGTTAGGAGTGGTGAAAACATCTAAAGAAAGGAGTGGCAGAAGAAAAGGCAGAGGGCCCGGCCTGGTGGTGCAGTGGTTAAGTGCGCCCATTCTGCTTTTCAGCGGCCCGGGGTTCGCCGGTTCGGATCCCGGGTTCAGACATGGCATCACTTGGCACACCATCCTGTGGTAAGTGTCCCATATATAAAGTAGAGGAAGATGGGCATGGATGTTAGTTCAGGGCCAGGGCCAGGCTTCCTCAGCAAAAAGAGGAGGACTGGCAGTAGTGAGCTCAGGGCTAATCTTCCTCGGAAAAAAAAAAAAAAAGGAAAGACAGAAACATAGTTTTTACCCAGTAGGCAAAGCTGTGAATTGATTTAGAACTGCCAAATCTATTTTTTAGCTCAAATATACTTTATTGCACTGGAGGATATCCTTGTCAACATAGGGCACTAGGATTGTTTGGGAGTGATTTTAACAAGTGATATTGATAGACACAACTACCCCAGGCATAACCGTGGCTTGCTAAGTAAATGCTAGCTCCAGGCTAGGCATTGTTCTAGATTTTGATAAAACTTACATCAATAGACCCTCATAGTAACCTAGTGAGTTAGATGATATTTGTCATATTCTATGGATGCAAAAACATAAAAAAAGCATGGCAAGATTAGCTCAACTAGCAAGTGGCAGAGTTTGGATTTCACACTGAACCTGCCTGGACAATAAGGCCTGGGCTTCTGTTGTAATGCCTTCCAACAGGAACCTGAATCACTTGTAATACATGCCTGGTAGTAAAGAATTTACAACTTATTGGCAGCATGGACAGGATCCATGAATCAAGACCAAGGCTCCTGGGGCTGGCCATGTTATGTTTGTGGAGAGCAGTTGGAATAGAGCAGTGGAACCACCTGTGGCCGAGTGGTTAAGTTCGCACACTCTGCTTTGGTGGCCGAGGGTTCGCATCCTTGGCATGGACATGGCACCACTCATTAAGCCATGTTGAGGTGGCGTCCCACATGCCACAACTAGAAGGACCCACAACTAAAAATATATATATATACAACTATGTACTGGGAGGATTTGGGGAGAAAAAAGCAGGAAAATAAAATGAAGATTGGCAACAGTTGTTAGCTCAGGTGCCAATCTTTAAAAAAAAAAAAAAAGACCAGGGCTCCTCTCAACCAGATGCAAAGACTGTCTTTATCTCACCTCTCAGTCAAATCCAGCTTTGCTTTTGGATCAGCAGTTACCACGTCAAGACACTTTCTGGTGTGAACAGGTATGTGTTTCAGAATCAGTGTCCTTTTTTTCTATCCTGTCATAAAAATAATCTCAAACTCTTAGTGGCTTACAAATAAACATTTATTTTTATTCTCACAATATGCATGTGGTTTGGTTGATGTAGGCAGGACTTGGTTGGGCCAGGTTGGACTCTAGGCTTCCGACCGACTTGAAGTCTCTGTCCTTACTGCCTGGGACATGTTCTCCCCATGGTGGATCTCAGGACTGCAAAAGAGAGAGAGATGTGATGGCTTGTATATCCTCACTCCAGAATTGGCCCACATTCACTTCTACCCACATTCCACCGCCAAAACAAATTGCCGTCAATGGCACAGGAATGTATTCTCCACCACAGTAGAGGCACCGCAAAGCCCCATGTCTAAGGCATGGATGGAGGGAATGAAGACGTGGGAATAATGTGAAAATAATTTCTGCAAACCAACCGTTGACTCCAAAGCCCACACTCTCATGGCATGGCTTTATCTATCTGAAAGGTAGGTAAGAGCATTTATCTCACAGAGATCTAGTGAAGATAAAGTGAGATAATGTGTTTAAACCATAGGGGATAATATCTTGCATAGTGAACAATCAACGGCAGCCTTTATTATTGTTTTTTATGCTGCACTTCTACTATTTTTACATTATTAGCTCTTTCACACCCCTTTGGTTCATTCAAATCAATAAATTATTGATCCCTTGTTTTACTCTTAACAAAAATTATTAAATAAATACTTATTTAATTGCTATTCTGGCTTAGCCTTACTCATTAGTAACTAAATCTGGTGCTTATCTGCTTGCTTGTTTGGCTTCTGGGCATCTGCATATTCAGATTCCTGATATACTATTTTTTCTTTAACTTGTCATGATTAGTTTAATTTCTGACTGTGACTTTGCCTGAGTATATGTGAGTGACTTTTGATCGCATTCGACTAATTTTTGATCTCTACTAAATCTGTGAATTTTGATTATTCATAACTTCCTGGTTTTCATGATCTAATTTTCCATCTCCCTATCATTTAAACCTCTTTCCACTGCAAGCCAAAGAAAACTCAATGAAAACAGGCTTAAGCAAAAGGGGAGCTTACCCTAAAATTCCAGCTGTAAGGGCGGGTCTCAGGACAGACCATAGCAGAATTCACTTTCTCTCTTTTCCCCTTCCTGGCATCCATCTTGCTGACTCAGCTGTCTTCTCATTTGCGTGCAATTTCTCCCTTTGAAAGCAAGAATGTTTCAGCAACCCTAGACTAAATACCAGCAGGTTAAGTTACTCTTCCCTGGAAGGTTCAGCTCAAGTTTCATTGCATATTATTGGTTCTATTGGGAAACAAGTGCATCTCTGAACTGATGACCATGGATTGGAAAAATACTCCAATTGGCTTAAGCATAAATCATATGCTCCCCACCAGGAGTTGAGGGCTGACTCAGTCTCATCTGTGTTCATGGGCTAAAAGTGGGGGAAGGGTATTTTTCAGAAGTCAACAATGGGAGGCAAGAACAAATACAAACAAAAAATGTTTACCACATTTCCTGTCTTTAGTTTCTCTATCATTTTTAAGGCATTTGGTCTAAACAGTGCTCATGGAAGCAAAAATTCAGCAAATAACAAATTAAGTATATCTGTATAGACAGAGATTCTGGGTTTTATAGCTTCTTCTCTCCTCTCTATCTACCCCAATCCCCAACCATAAATCACATTGGACCACTGAAATTAGCTACATACATTTATTCCATTACATACAAACTTTAGATTTTTGTCTTTGGGGCTCTCTGGACCCCAGAGCTAAATGAACAGTCTTTGATTTCTGCAAAGATTTAAAATCTGGCAAATAAGTTATTTTTGACTGGCTGTGCTACCGACAAGGACAAGGTTGCAGAACATTGTTATTATTCTATGTCTGTTTCTCAGATAGTTCATTGACCTGCAGTTTTCAGTAGTTTATGGAAAGTATCATCTTCTTCTGCCCTATCCCTTCTCACTCCAATGAACTATATGTGTATTATGGTAGACTTTTCAGTATCTGTTGTTGATCCTGATGGTACTAATGTGAAGGCACATGTGTGAAATATTGCACATTACTGAGCTCTTTCTCACCTATTCTTGTTTTTATGCCTTATAACAATTCTGCGAGACAAGTACTACCAATCAGGAGTTGAGGCCATTTTAAACTTTTAAAAAGCCATACAAAGACTTAGAGGTTTAGATTATCTGACCTCATATTCAGTATTCCTTCCACTAGCACTACTTTATGGTTTAAAAAAACTCATCTCAGCCTGGGCCTTAAGGAGAAGAAGTAGAAGCTTTCGGACATTTGGCAAAACCATGGCAAGTGGAATGGAAAACATCCTCTAAAACAATCCTCAATAAAACAAGTTTTGTCTTTGAAGTGGATTTTATTTGATCCAGTTCTATCTTCAGAGGATAAACAATTAATAAGCCTCTGTATTTCAGAAAAGGTAGCACGCAGATAGACTTATATTTTAGAAGTTTGAAAGGGATATGTGGGGGTTCTAAATCAATTATTTCACATTCTCTGAATTTTTGTATTCACCATTAATGTAGTGTTAGAACAGATTGTGCCTTGGGAATTTTACGATATATTAGAAATAATAAGCTTTGTAATAATTATATAATTCATCTTGAAAAATTACAGTGCTAGATAATATATTATTGCAACCATATATTATCTAGTCTTGCTTGACTAGACCAGAACCAATAAATTATTTTCAATCCCATATCTTTGCCTGTGAATGGAAATGTTTCATTTGCTTAGTTCTTACTAATCTATAGATTTGAGACACTTAAGTGCCATTGTACATATAAGACCATAGAATCTTTTTTATTCCAATGATTATTTATTCCTTCTGGTAAATTGCTGTAAATGACTACTAATTTCTGACTTAGTTATAGCACCATTCATTGGGAAACAACTTTGCATATCACTAAGTTATTCTAAACTTCTAATAAAATTGTCTTTAGTCTTTCTGTAAAAATACACCTAGAGAATAATTTCCACAAAACTTTGCTTTCTTTTTTTCTAAGCAGTGCTGGTAATTGGTCATTCAGGACCCTGAGTATGGATATATGGTGATAAATGTGAAGATTGGAAACATCGTGTTTTCTTAGTCTACTGAAAAGAAGAGGACTAAGATGAAATAAAGATTTTTGTAAATTTATTTCTTGTGAAAAACAAATTCAAAGAGATAAATGTAATTCCAAATATACTTAAGCCTAATCTGGGCTAGAGAGCCAGCAGCTGCTTCAGGGCTGCTGCACAGGTTCCAAGAAGCTCTGACCACCCCTTTTGCAGTCCTAAATAATATTTGCATGATTCAGACACCAATTTACAGGAAAAGAAGCCAGCGCTCTTGGCAGTATTAAGATGTGCAGTAAGAATATTACAGTAATGTTTATAGCTTTTTCTTTGATGACCTAGATAGCCCCTAGCCCAAGTGACATCCTGGGCCTATTGGATTCCTATGTTACCTGATAATTAAGGTCCAATTATAAGAATTCCTTTATCCTTAGAGAAATGTAGGACCTACGGGAAAGGACCTTCCTTCTGAACATGTTTATGTATGGCAATAAAGTTAAAAGAACTTAAAATGCAGACATAAATTTAAAAAATATATTGGCAAGGAATGACAACAGAGCAGCATGGGGCTTGGTGAAGTGACCTTCAAGAGAAAGGGCCCAGTTTCTCTGGGTAGTCAGTCCCATCGTGCTGGCTTCTGTTTGGGGAACTGGGTTTAGTTTATGAAAATTCAAAGGTTCAGGGCTGGAGCTCTCTCATTTCTTTACTTTTCCTGTTTGTTCATTTGTTTGTTCAATTTTAATTATTCATTAGTTTTCGTACTACTTTATAATCTTTTGAAAGCCCTTTGTTCCTTCCCTAATTTTACACTCAATAATTTAAGGATATCATATCACCTTCTCCTTAAAACTTGAAATTTAGATTTGGAACTCAGGAAACTTAATTCATTATTTCAAATATTCATCATATTGTATTCATTACAAAAATAAGAGATGAGTCAGCAAATGTTCATTTCTCTGTCTCCAAAGAGAGAATGTCTTTTTTCTCCTCTCTTTATTACTCCTGTCTCTTTTTTCTCTCTTTCCCTTCTTGTCAGAGATGTATCTTTTTCTTATAAAAGGAGATATCAGAAAAATTTCCCTAGATGAGAACCTGCAGGAGAAGTGCAATTTTTTGTTGAGTACAGGAACCTTGTGCAAATACTTTTTTTATTATTATATCTTTTGGGAGGTATAAGGGTGTTTTGAAAGTTTGATAGTGTGTGAGCTTTGTCAGAACTTTGCACTTTCCTGCTATGAATTGGAAGATGGATTGGGTAGCCACAAGCATTGAAAACAGGGGAGCTGCTGGGACCTGTGCTTGTCAGTCAGGTGGGATCATAGACACAAGCTACATAAGCTGTGTCGCCAACATGTATCAAATGTGGGTAAGTAGATATATATAGTGGAATACCATTCAGCCATAAAAAAGAAGGAAGTCCTGCTATTTGCAACAACCTGGCTGGATTTTGAGGGCATTATGCTACAAGAAATAAGTCAGACAGAGAAAGATAAATACCATATGACCTCACTTACATGTGGAATCTAAAAACAAAACAAAAACAAATTCTTAGAAAAAGGGGTTAACTTCACGGTTACCAGAGGCAGAGGGTTGGGGGTAGGGGAATGGGATGAAGGTGGTTAAAAGGTACAAACTTCCAGTTATCAGATAAATAAGTACTGGGGATGTAAGGTACAACATGATGACTACAGTTAACACCGTTGTATGGCATGTTTGAAAGTTGCTAAGAGAGTAAATCCTCAAAGTTCTCAAGACAAGGAAAAAAATTTCTTTCTTTTTTTCTTTCTGTAACTATATGAGAAGGATATTAACTAAACTTATTGTGGCAATCATTTTACAATATATGTATGTGAAGTTGTTTACAGTACATCTTAAACATATACAGAGCTCTATGTCAATTATATCTTAATAAAAGTGAAAAAAATCGTGGGTAAGTGATAGACAGGAAGATGAAGAGATCCTGTATCAGACGAGGAAAGACATAAGTGATGTGCAGAGAGACACAACTTTCCTTTCCACTCTACGAAGCAACGCTTTACCTAACCGGTCTGCTCTGTTTATCACTCTGCTGGTCTGTGGTCCAGCCTCAGTCCATCAGGCTGTTGTCGGGGAGTCAATCAGCGCTTGCTGTGTGCTGAATGACTATTCTTACCTGAGGCCAGGGAAAGGTATGGTTAGCATTGTCCTGGCACTAGGAAGTGCAGGAAAGCTCCAATAACCTCCTCCTTTTTCCTAAATCACCTTCCAGGTCTCTGGCTAATGCCTGCCTTCATACAAGAGCTCCAATGCTTAAGTGATGAGTCCAGAATCCAAACTCAACGAGTCACTTCTCTGTTAGACGTCTCAATGGCTCCTGCTTGCTCATGGGATAAATGTCAAACTCCTGACATGGACTACGAGGGCGTTTTCATTTGCCTGTGCTTTTGGTCTCACGTACAGTCACTGTCTAGCAAGCCAGGTATCTTCTGGCCATAACCACTCACCTTGTCCAGAGATGCTGTTCTCTCTGAGGAGCTGCTTTTTTCTCAGCTCAAGAGTAATTTCCCAGGTACCCCTGCCCCCAGTGTCTGCAGTTACCAGTAACTCCTTCTTTGTGAATCAACTCATCCATTACCTCTTTGCTGAAGTTTGTCTGACTCGCTCCTTATTTTCATATGTACAGCCTTTAATCCTCTTTCCTCTGTACTTCCAGTTTTTTCATGACCTGCCATATGTCTACAATGGATGGAGCTCCGTGAGACTCAGAGCAAGCACGGTGTCTGTCTTGTTGTCATCATGTCACCAGTATTTTGCACAGGGCCTGGTACATAATAAGATCTTAACAAATTTTGGTTGAATGAATAAATGATGAAAAAATACTAAATGCTAATATGAGGTGCTATTGGAATTAGGGTAAAATTATACCTTTATTTAATTTGAGTAAAAAATAACAATATGTTGTGTTTTGTCTAAAGCACCATTATTTCCAGAAAAATTGCAATCTGATAACATTTGAAAAACACTGGTCTAGGCAGGAGAGTAGGAGGCCTAGTCTGTGAGGTCACTCCTTTGAGATGAGAAATAGATGCATGTGAAGATGAGGAACGTAAGGCTGGTATCCATCTCCCTGTCTATTCCTCCTTGATGTCTTCAAGGGCTATGGCTACATCTGACCTGGTTCTTTGGACCTCGGTGCCTACCACAGTAC